CATAACCCTGAAGCACAGCCGCTTGCAATGCCTGTGCCTTCATGTACTCAGTCATTCATTCATCCACTCACCTGTTTGTTCATTTAGTTATTGAGCGTTTATTGAATACCTACTTGGGACCAAGCTAAGGGGGATACTAAAGCAATGTAGGACCTGGGTGTCTGCCCTCCTGAGGTTTATGCTGAGGCTGGGAGATGAATGCTTAGGAAACGAGATGCTGTCTCAGATGTTCTGTGATGGCAGAACATCCTGACTGGGCGACGTGGGAAGAGCCTGGAGCAGTCCCGGGGTTGAGTCCTAGCTCAGTCTTGACCTGGAAGGGTGAACTTAGACCGCTGCTCTGAGCATCCTCTAAACAGTGACCACCATCATACCCGATAGGGTGTGTCTAGACTATTCAAAGGCACCTGGCACGCAGCAGGTGCCTAGGGTCCGCTAGATGGTTGCCCCTCCATCCCCCTTAACTGGAGGCATTTATTCGTGAGGGATCAAATAAAGTCTCAGAGCTGACCTTGCTGAGGAAGTGGAGTTAAGATGTGCCTCAAAGGGTCGTATAAATAGAGGAGGGAGGAAGAGGAAGAAGGGCTGCAGGTTGGGGTAGGGTAGAAGTGAGACTTTGGCTAAGGCCAAGAGGCTCCGCTGATTTGGGCAAGACCAGGATGTGCCTATGAGGAAGGGTGTGTGTGTATGCACGTGTATGCGTGTGTGCATGTGTATAAGGGTGTGTGTGCAGGTCTGTCGCCTTGCATGGCCATAGGAGGCCCTGGGGTCATTGTCACTGCTTCTCCCTAGTGCACAGCTCCAGGGGTTAAGCAGCACGTGGTCTGGAGAATGTGGGAGGAAAGTCTGGAAGATATTTTGAAGCCAGTTTTTGAAGGCCTCGGGAAGCTTCAGCAGAGTTTGAACTTGCTCCTTTAGCCATTGGGAGCTCTTTGGGGAGAGTGGTATTTCGACAACTCATTCTGGCAGCTGATGACAGAGGGGTGAGCCAAGGGGCCGAGGCTGGGGAGGAGGCCATGGCAGGCTTCCAGGGGTGATGGAAGCCTAAACCAAAGGTCTGGGGGATGGGAAGGGCAGTTCCCACAAGGGGCCTTACCATAAGAGGAAATGAGCAGAACTGAGCCTGGGTGAAGTACCTGGGAGTGTGTACGGCCATGAAGACAGACTGGGAGATGGGAGCAGTAGTCAGTTTCAGGGAGAGCTGAGTTCAGTGAGTTTGAGATGCCAAGAGTGACAGAGGAAAGGGGACCGTGACAGTGTCCTGTGGTTTAAGACTTCTGTACCCAGCGCGGTTAGGAAATTCACTTCAATAAAAATTCCTCATGTTTTCATGGCAACTCCTCAAAACCCTCTCTCTGCAGTCTTGAAATCCCCTTCTTCGGTTATATGCACGCATCATTCTCTCCATAGCCTCCCTTACGACACAGACCCCTGGGGAGCTGTGCCCCGCTGTGCCCTGATGTCTCAGTTTGAACGGTTTTCATCAAACTTCACCGTTTTTGAGAAGAGAGACTCCAAGGCAGGCAAGTGCCAGGATTCTTGCCTCCACACGTTTGCGGAAAGGTTGACTTTACCCACGTGAGGAGGAAGAGCTTGGTGTTTCAACAACTTCTATCTGTGTTCTATCATGGAAGTAGTGGAATGACATTTTGGAAGGTTTAGAAAATAGACCAAAGGGAAAAGAAATCTTTTGGATGTCCACCCCCTCCGATCATGTTAGTGAAATTCCTTCCACGTGTTCGTGCACACATACATGTATGTATTGCGGAGAGCTGTAAACACAGTAACATACACTCCTGCATTCTCCATTTTTTTACGTCACATGTCACAAGCCTTTTCATGCTCTCCTATGTTGTCCCCATGAGCATCACTTTTAATGGCTGCGCAATATTCCCCTCGAATGGTGGCTCTGCCCTTGGGCTGGTGGAGTCCAACGCACTCACAGGGCACTGGGTTGAGGGCTGCTGTGAGCCACATGGGAGGAGAGGTCAGCGGATGGGTCTGACAGCTCCAAAGCCTCTCTGCTCACCATCGGCCTCTTCCATCAACAGGTCCAAATAGGTGGAGAGGAGGGCGGGTAAGAGAGGGCTTGGAAGCAGGAAGGTTTGCATAAACTTCTGAGATCTGGGTGCTGGTCTTTTTTTCTGCCACAAACTCCTGTGATCATGAGCAGGTCAGCTTCCCCCACTGGGCCTCAGTTGGCCGGTCAGTCAAATGGGGATGATAGGTCCATCGTGTCTGTCTCACGGGGAAGGACTGGCCACAGAAAGCGACGCAAATGAAACAAAACGAGAAGTCAGCCAAAGGCCAGGGTAGCGGCACTGACTGGCATTCCCTAGTGGTGGTCCTCAGACAGGAGAGACAGTGCAGTGGGGACAGCCCGGACGCGGGGTCCTGCTCCGCCAATTAGCGAGGGTGTGACCTGTGGGGTCACGTCCGACTGCTCGGTGCCCTCTTTGCTGTCTGCTACTGGAGATGATTGGCCGAATGGCCCCTTCCTGCCTTCAAAAACTGGGATTTCCCCCAGATGAGAATCACTTGCATCACTCTTTGCCTTTCCTTAGTGCCACCTTCCTAGGCCACTTCCGCTGGCCAGCTCTCCGCGCCGCGGGACGGCAGCCAGGGGCCCGCAGAGGCCCTGAACGCCGACCCGACGCGGGCTGAGCTCAGGGTGGGGCGGCTTGCCGGCGCAGCTGCCCTGGTTAGGCCTCAGAGCGGGAAGTTCCCGTGCTTTCCTGAGGCATCCTTTCCTTGAAACCTCCCCCCGAGGCGAGCCAGCGCAGGCAGGGGAGACAGCGCTCGGGAAGTCACCCAGTGGGTGGCCTGGCCCGTCGGGGCTCAGCGCTCCCCCAGGTAGCCGCGGTGCGGCGGGGACAGGAAGTGGCGGCTGCTGACTCAGCACCAGCCTGCCACGTGGAGAGGGGGTGGAGGAGAGGCTGGGAGGAAGTGAGCACTGGGCCAACACCTGTCTCAAGGAAGGGCAGGAAGCTCTGGAACAGCTGCTGCTCGCAGTCTGGGGCTGAGAGTGGGAGGGAAGGGGGCGGAGGCGCGCTCGAGTCTGCCCCTCCCCCACAGCCAGTGTCGCCGCGGCTCTGCTCCCCTAGCTGCCGGGGCCTCCGTGCCACCCACTCCCCGTGTCCCAGGCACCCGCCTCCTGGAGCAGTTGCTCCCGTCCCCAAACTCTGTGGGCAGGAATGGATGAATGCCTCCCCCCAGGACTGGAGATCCTGGTAGAGTTCCTTAAGCCGGAGGGTGGAGCTCCCCAACTGGTGGGGGTGGGGGGCATTCCCTGCAGGCGAGCTGAAATGGACTGGCCGGGAAAGAGCGGCTGGCCTGTTCAGGCCTCCACCTCCACCTAGCAGACATGGTCCTCGTGACCAGAGTTGAGAAATCCAACCCTGGGGAAGGTGAGACATGATGAGGGGAAGGCTTGGGTCCACAGGGCTGTCCCCCACTACCGGTCACCCCTGGCTTGGGAGCCTGTGTGTCCAGGTGAGGGAGACAAAAGAGGTAGCTGGACAAAGCCTCGGCCTTGATTTAGTTGGAACTCGCTGGAGCTGCTCTTGGACACCAGGTTGGGTAGACTGTGGCACAGGTGCAAGTCCGGCCTGAGCCGGGAGCTCAGCGGCTGGTCTGGGTGGAAGCTGGGCTTGGGAGGCAGTGCCTCCTGGACTCCTTTCTGCTGAGGGGATAGATACTGAGGCTGCCGCAGGCAGGGGTGCCCGGGAGGCAGGGCTGGAGCGGAGCCAGAGGGCAAGGGCAGTAAGAGGCAGCCGTGGGGAGGGGGGAGGGGAAGAGAGGTCGCAGGTGGCGAAGGGAACAACAGCCAACCAGCCCTCACCTGGGCAGGTGAACTGGGAGAGTGACGGAGAAGGTGGAGAAGGACCCCAGACAGGAACCTGGGCTGCATTTTCGCATTCTATCCCCACTTCATCCTGAAGGGTCCTTGACCAGTCTGAGCTCCCCCCAGGAGACAGGTGGAGGAAAGAAGGAGCACGACATGAAGGATGGGAAGGAGGAAGTTAGAGACATGTTGTCACAGTCCCCCCTGCTCTTCAGCAGGTGGCACTCACTGTCTCCCGCAATACTCACTAAGTCTTTTCGGACTCCCTCTTGTGCTCACCATGGCCGGGTGGTCCAGACCTGCCCTCTAGGAGCATCCAGACTAGTGGGGAGTTGGGAGAGGTGTGCAAGGGACAGAGAGCAGAACCCGTGACTCCGGGCCAAAAACGGCCCTTCCATGCCCCATGCCATGGAAACATAGCATGGTTTCCAGTTTTACTACCAAATCTGGGGAAAAAGAGGTTTTTATATTAAACTAGACAAGGAGCTCTTAAGTCATCAATTGCAAAGGTTGTGTGAACTTTTGAGTGAAAATAGAAGACTTGGATGACACATTTCATGTGGGCAGGTCAGACTGTACCCCCATGGCTGGGGAGCTCGTTGTTTTACATTGACATTGGGGTGCTCTCGGGGAAGAGTATGAGGGGTGCTGGGTGAAGCAAGTTCTCGTCACAGAACCGGAAACCCAAGCCTGTCCAGTGGCTGGAGTTGCAAAGCCAGCTCCCGAGCGCCCCAGTCAGGATCAGGACCCGGGTGTCCTGATTCTGAGGGGCCAGTGTTCTTCCTGGTCTTGATTCAAGGCCAGTTGGAAGCAGCCTGAGCTCCAGGAGCCCTCACAGGGGTGGTCGAGTGAAGCTCTGTCAGGGGCACAACTGGGTGAGGCTGAAGACAGTGTGGGGTTTAGGCAGAGAGAGAGAAGGATGGTATTTCAATATGGTGCCTCATCTGCCATATTGCCTCCGAAGTCTGGAGAGCCAGGGCGAGGACTGGGAGCGAGGGTCTGAGTGGGGGAGGCCGGGAGGTGGAGACGAATCCCAGGAAGAAGCAAGGGAGGGAGGCTTTCCTGTGGGGGGTGTCCAGCAGGGCTTCCCCCAGGACTCTCATTTTTACTGTAGTAAAATACATACAGTGGCTCCCCCTTACCTCTGCAGTTTTGATTTCCACGGTGTCAGTTACCCACCGCCAGCTATAGTCCAGAAACAGATGATCCTCTTTCTGACGCATCATCAGAAGGTCAGTAGCAGCCTAACCTACGTCACAGTGCCTGGTCGTCCCCCCCACAATCATGGACGCATTTTGTCACCACGCGTCATCATGGGCAGGCTGAGTACAGGACAGTGAGATGTTCTGAGAGGAAGACCACGTCCGCGTAACTTTTATTTGTACAGCGCATCGTACAGTATATTGGTACAATTGTTGCAATTTATTATTAGTTATTGATAATCTCTTCCTGTGCTTTATTTATAAGTTACATTTATTGCAGGTAGGTGTGTATAGGAAAAAAACATAGTATATACGGGGGTTTGGTGCTGTCTCTGGTGTCAGGCATCCACTGTGGGTCTTGGAACATATTTCCTGTGGATAAGGGGGAGCTGCCGGATAGCATAAAATTTGCTGTTTTCACCACTTTAAGGTGTGCAGTTCATGGGCATGGAGTATATTCACAGTGCTGTGCCACCATCACCACTTCCTATTTTTAAAACTTGTGGATGGCCCCAAACAGAAACTAAGGGCCCCCTTGACCTTGAGGCCTGCTCCTGGGCAGGGCACGGCTGTGCCTGCTGGGTCTCCTTGAGGACCACTGGGGGAGACTAAGTGGTAGCAGGAAGTGCACAGATTTTGGCACCGGGAAATCTCGGGTTCAATTCTTGGCTTTGGCACCTACTAGCTAGGTGACTTTGGGCCCCTCTGAGCCTTCTCTCTTCATAACAAAAAATGGAGGTAATTGTTATTGGTACCAGCGTCAGGGGGCAGCGAGGATGAAGGAATTCCATATCAGGCACAAGGCACCTTGGAGGTGCTTAGCAAAAGATGGTCATTCCCAGCTCCCGCTGCCTCCTCTGAACACGCGTCCTGTTTGTTTGGGCCTGGAACCCTGGGACAGTCTAGGGGCAGACCAGAAGGGGCTGGACACGTTCCCGTGTCATTGCATATGCAGTTCATGAGAACCTAGGGTGCTGGGGAGACCCCCGAGCACCCCGGAAGTGGGTGGAAAACCCAGACTGGGCGACACAGAGGGTGAAGCCGATGGTGATGCTGGCTAGAAATGGAGCCTGGAGGCAACTGGTCAGGGTTGGCACACGGGATGGGGAGAGGTCGCTGAGGCCTGGAGAAGTCGGGAGGGCCTCCCGGAAGAGGCAGAGCTGGAGCTGTTCCCCAGGAGGGAGAGAGATCTGCCCTTTGCTGCCTGGGGGAGCTGTGAGGTCAGCCTGCCTCCCACGCCCCCTCCCACTAGGCCCACATCCGATCCAAGAGGTGAATGTTCAGAGTCCTGTGGCTGTCATCCTTGTCTGAGTTTTCTTTTTCTTTTCTGGAGCATTGGGCCCTCTCATTTCATTGTCATCCCGCCCATTCCAGCCCCGCTCTCCCTGCTCTCTTTGGTCTCTCCCCTGCCCCACCCCCAGCCATCTTCCCTATAACTCTCTGCCTCCTCTCCCACCCCCTGCCTGAGCGCTCCAGTGGGTCAGCGTGCCGTCCCTCGGGAGAGCCTGCGGAGGGCGAGGCTGCCCTAGGGGAGCTGGGGCTTTCGTGACCTCCCTCTGGAGCAGGTACCCCTCTCGGGGCATTGGTTCTGTTCCCTGCAGCACGGGGTCCTCATCCTGACGTGCCAGGCTGTGTGGGGTTTAAATGGGCCCCCCGTGATGCCCGGCACAGAGTATGGGGCTATTTTTGTTCCATGTGGCTGTCCACTAGGGACGTGCCACACACAGAATCCCCTGCCTGCTTCTAGGAGGCACTTTGAATTTGGTAAGGGGAACAAAGGCGAGGAGCCAAGACTTCTTGGAGCCAAAGTGCCCTCATCGGTAAAATGGGAACAATCCTGGTAAACCCGTGCCCCCACCCCCACTGGCCCCCCTTATCATGAGGCTCAGATCCGATGGTGGTTTTGTGCAGCTCATCTGACAGGTGTGCACTGAGCATGTGCCCTGGCCCAGGCGTTGTCCCAGGCACCGGAGACACAAGGGGAACAACGACAACAGGAGCACTATAGCATATGCTCACGGGGCACTTGTCCGTGCCAGCCGCTTTCCTAAGCGACTTACCCTAAACAGACTCCGTGTGGTGGCAAACAGGTGCGTGAGCAGTCAGAAGTGAGGGCCCAGGTACGTACCGGGTGCTCTGTCAGCCTGCGCGGGGACGTCCCGGGGAGGGCAGTGCCTGGGGGAGCTGGTGCGGAGCTGAGTCTTGGAGCGTGCGTGGGCTTGACCAGGGGATTGGGCCGGGGCAACGTCTCGCAGGCAGAGGGGCTGCAGGGGCACCGGGCGGGCTGAGAAGCAGAATGCTGCCCGTGGGGCCTGGAGGTGAGGCTGATGTCCTGCGGGGCAGCCGGGGCTCTGTCACTCCTAGTTGTCAGCACAGCAGTGTTGCCCGTCCATCAGCGTGGCTGCTGGTTGACTGGCTTGTGTCAAGAACGAAATGCACACCGCCTACCCAGAGATGGCATGTTCTGAGCCTCGGGCTGAGGGCGGGACCAGGGCACTGCCCTCGAAGGCCTAGGAAACAAGGTTGACATCTTGACAGACCCCCTCCCCCCCCCAGCCCAGGAAGCAATGAGGGGACGGGATACCCTCCCCCCACCTTCCAAGGGTTATCATGGCTGACTGCTGGGAGGAGGGGGAGGAGGCCAGATGAGGGCAAGATGAGGAGGACGTGGTGTCCAGGAGTCTTGGAGGACATGGGCCTTGAGCTGACTGACCCTTGAACTAGGGCCCCGGGGCAGCATTTTTCACCCAAACACTAGGACCCCTTGAGCTGTTAAATGTTGTTTCTGCAGAAAAGTTACTACACGTTCCACCATTTGGGAAAATGCTGCACGCGACACCCCTGTCATGGAGGTCCCCATGCATGTGAGCACACTGAAGGTTCTGGTAGTTTGCACAGTACTGAATGCCCTTTGGTTCTGCTTCAGTAGCACTTCCCCATACTCTCTGACCACAGAACTGTGTGTGTGTATGGTGAGTCCTAAAACATCCCTTGAACTTGGCGCACGGAGACCGTTTGGGAAATGGCAGCCTGGGAGCTGGGTCATCTACCTCAAGGCTGGCCCAAAGCAGCTCCTTATGTGACGGGAAGTAGAGGCTAAGAAAGGCCATGAAAGGTGGCCCATCGGTTGGTGACTGCCTGTCTCGAAGTTCCCCCCCTCACCCCTCCAGCCCAGTCTTCCTCCCAGGAGGGCCATCTTTACCTGCTGAAGAGAAGACTCTAAGATCAGGAGGTCAGTGGTGAGCGGGTCACCCCCTCCCAGCGACACCCTTGCTGGCCAGCCTGGGGGAGCTCCAGCCAGGGAGCGGAGGAGACCCTGGAGGGAGCTCTTGGCCCCTGGAGGGACGGGCCTTGTACAAAGCCCTGCTCTGCTTAAGACTTTCCTCCCACCTTTTATATTTATGACCTTGTCCAGATGCCACGGGGTGGGCTTTCTCCCTACCCAGCTGGGAGCCCCCATGCCCCTGTGCCCATAGCTATATTCGACACACTGCACACGGTCCACGCAGCTCTTGATATTCACCTAATAACGCACCCAGGTGCTCAACCCCAGCACGCACGCACGCACGCACTCAACCCCACATGGTCCCCGTGTAATACACGTTCGTACACGATCCACACGCAGTCAGAATGTCAGCACATACACTCATTCACAGTCGTTAACACCTGTACGGGATCGGAATGTGTGGTACACACATTCACAGAAGCAAATAAATGCACACCTATGCACGTGCAGCCACGCACACGCATGCACACAGGTATACCGGTGACACCTCCTCACCTCGCAACATACAAGCTTAAATGTCTCCAGATGGGGACCTCCTTCTCCTTCTTGTCACTGACATGCCACCTGTGCCCGATGAGGCCCCCATCCCACCATCACTGAAGTCACACAGTTAAAATTCCAACAAACAGATGGAGACCTTCAGCCAGGCTAAAGCCACGAGGCCTGAGCGTCTCCATATCCCCTGGTCAGGCTGGCCAAGGTAAGGGGCCCACACCTGCCTCAGAGCCGGGGCCTGTGGCATCCCGTTGTTCCCATCCTCAGGACTCTGCTTTCTCCACGGGGCCTTGCTGAGGCCCAGGAGGGGCAGTGGCTATGTGGGCTAATGCAGGAGGCACAGCTGATTTGCTATGGTATCCACTATAGCCGCCTGGTGATGGATAAAACAAACATCGACAGCCCCTTTTGGATGTCAAGTGGCCTGGAGGGCTTCATGGAAGAGGTGGGTCTCGAGCTGGGGTGAAGGATGAGGACCGTGTCAGCAGGAGGTGAGCGAGGGGAGGACGTGGAGGCGGGGAAGTCACACGAAGGGCGTGGGGAGCAGTGAGCATGGCTGGTGGCCCCCTAACCCAGAGAGCCCCAGTGATGATTGTGGGAACAGTTTGAGCAGAGACGGGAGAAGAAGCAGCGGGGCCAGGAAGCAGTCAGTAGCCCTGCTCTGCTGGGGTTTCCTCCTGCTGCCCAGGAGACTCCTCATTCAGTGCTCAGCTTCTGCACCCAGGTGGTTGGGGGAATTAAAGAGACCATGCAGTATTAATGTTGCTGCCTTGTTTTATAAAGTGTCCTAACAAGCTGGTAAGCCAGGCACACTCAGTCTTATTTACAGCTGCTATTATTTCTCTGACATGGAGATTAATTTGATGATAGCCATTTATAAGCTCTTCTATCATCAGATGGGCCCATTACCTGGGAGGAGAGGAGGGCTGGATTTAATTTGTGAACAGTGCGCTGGGTTTTCCTGCTCCGGAGTGTGTGTGGGAGTCACAGTCATAAATCATGGAAGGGAACAGCAGCGCTGAGACTGGAGGCCGGGGAGCTCCCCGAGCCGGCGGAGTGCGGGAGGGAAAGGGATGTCCTGGCGGGTGTGCAGGTCCGCAGGCCCTGCAAGCTGGGTGGGGAAGCCCAACCACCTGTGTGGGAGAGAGACACTGGGGATCGCCCAGCCAAGGAGCTTCAAACTCAAGTCTATAGCAAATAAGAATCATCTGGAAGCTTATTAGAATGCAGATTGCCCTAGCCTAGGGGC